TATTGGGGGCTCAATGGTATCTTAGCCCCTAAGGACTAAATGATATCTAAGCCCCACCAAAAGATTGAGGGGCTCGATTAATGACATCTATAAGCCCCGCCAAAAATATTGGGGGGGGGGGGGGCTCAATGATCTCTGAGCCCCCCCCCCCCAATATTTTTTTTTGGGGGGGGGGGGCTGTGCCCCCAATCCCCCTCCTCCCGGTTCCTGAGCCTAATTAACAGTTCAATGAAGTCTACTTTTTGAAACTTAAAGGGATTGGGTAACTTTGTCTTAGGTTCTGAAACAAAAAATCCTTGAATGATAGTTAGGGCTAGTTCTGATCGGAAAACGACCCAAATATCGGAGTATGGCTAGCTGCCCCAGGGCCTTGTCCTATATACGGATCAGAGAAAAAATACCCCGAGCCCCCGTGTATTTTTCCTCCTGATACGGATAAGTGAGTGCCCTGATGGGACTTCTTCTAACTCGTGTTTTTAGCCCTTCTTTCTTTACTTTTTCCTTTCCTTTCTTTTTTCTTTCCTTTCCTTTCTTATTTTTTCAAAGAGGAGGGGGGGGGGGGGGGCAGGTCCATCGCCCCCCGTATATCCGCGCCTGAGTGACACCCACACAAACTAACCTTATTTATTACCAAACAAAAAAATGAAGAAAGAGCCCCTCGACACCATAGGTGTAAGTATTCAGCCAGTTCCTACCCCCCCCCCCACCAATATAAACTTTAAAAGTGATTTTTTTTTTCTTCTAATTTGAATGCGTTTGTTGGAGAATGACATTATCACAATTTACAGTCAGGCAAGAAATGTGCTTATTTACTATTTAGAGGCCGACATGTCAGGTCCCGCGGAACGGCGGGCTTGGGGGCTCAAGCCCCCCCCCCTCCCACCCCACACTTTTGAAAAAGTATATTAAAGAGAGTTAAATAGAAAGAAATAGAAAAGAAAGTATGCTCATGTAACCGTAATTAAATGCCCATACCCCTGAGCTAATTCCGGGGGCTCTGCCCCCTGGACCCCATCTTGGGCCCTAAGGCTGGCCCCTGGATGCTAATCTGACCTTAATTGTAATGCCTAAAACCCCTGCGCTTTCGGGGGCTTCGCCCCTTGGAGCATACGCCAATTAGTGACCTGCCAGTGTCATGAATATGGTATTAAAATATGCTCATCTGACCGTAAGTACGAAGCCACGTACAATTGATTACAACAGTAATTGTGGGGCCGATATCACGAGTACGCCTTCATAGAATAAAGGACTGGCCCATTTGCTTAAAACAATTGTAGAGAGTTATCATTATGTAATTTCTAGAAAAAATGCCAACCACATGATTTACAATGAGTCTAAATACATTGATTTGCCGAGTTTCTTCCTTTTATCAAATATACACGTAAAACAATGGGGGTACAGACTGCGCGGATAGCAATCCGCACGGATCGTCCCTCGGACGATCCGTGCGAGTCACGGACGATCCGTGCGAGCAGAAAACCCGCATATTATGTCCGACGGACAAACGAAACTGGTAGGACAAACGGCGCGGTCACACCGGCCAGAGACTATTTATCGACACTTTATGTAGATGTCTTTTTCCTAGCTACAAAGGTGAGGAATGTGAGGGTTTGTAAGTATATAGTTAGTAATACTATTTTTGTTACGGTTCATCTTGTAACTGCAATGAGCATAAAACCAGTGCCCTATATATATGCCGAACGCACAATTTCTTTGAATTGATTCATCTATCATACAACATAAATTATTTTCCATTGGTTGAACGATTAAACAAAATGTTCGGAATCGTAATTAAACACCTTAAACCCCAGAGCTTCCGGGGGCTCTGCCCCCTGGACCCCACCAAGGGCCCTATGGCGATCCCGTGGATGCTCATCTGACCGTAATTAAATACCTAAAACCCCAGAGCTTCCAGGGCCTCTGCCCCCTGGACCCCACCAAAGGCCCTAGAGCGGTCCCCTGGATGCTCATTTGACCGTAATTAAATACCTAAAACCCCAGAGCTTCCGGGGGCTCTGCCCCCTGGATCCCACCAAAGGCCCTAAGGCGGGCCCCTCGATGCTCATTTGACCGTAATTAAATACCTAAAACCCCAGAGCTTCCGGGGCCTCTGCCCCCTGGACCCCACCAAAGGCCCTAGGGCGGTCCCCTGGATGCTCATTTGACCGTAATTAAATACCTTAAACCCCAGAGCTTCTGGGGCTCTGCCTCCTGGACCCCACCAAAGCCCCTAAGGCAGTCCCGTGGATGCTCATCTGACCGTAATTAAATACCTTAAACCCCAGATGTTCCGGGGGCTCTGCCCCCAGGACCCCACCAAGGGCCCTAAGGCGGTTCCGTGGATGCTAATCTGACCGTAATTAAATTTCTAAAACCCCAGAGCTTCTGGGGGTTCTGCCCCCTGGATGCTCATCCGACCATTATATAATACCTAAAACCCCTTAGCTTCTTTAGGCTCTGCCCTTTGAACACTCCACCAATTATTAGTAACCTGCCAGTGTCACAAATAAGGTATCTAAATATGCTTATCTGACCGTTATTTAATGCCTTAAAACCCTGAGCTTTCGGGGTTTACGCTCTACCTGATCCACTTTGAAAAACGTTCCGCGGGGCCTGCATGTAACGTATAAGCAGGCGCGGATTCAGAATTTCTTAGGGGGGAGGCCCAAATTTAAAATTATGCGAGCCAAATATTGGTACGCAATGGTGAAGCGCGGAAGCTTTGACGTTTCAATTATGCATTAGAGAAAGAAGACGATTTGCTGTACCGTTCTCGACTCTTAATCCTCGTCTGAATTCACTTTTTTCCCCTCCCGCGCTAAGCGCGGAAGCTTTTACGTTTCATTAAATCATTAGAGAAAGAAGATGATTCGTTGTACCGTTCCCGACTTTTAATCCTCGTCTGAATTCAGTTCCTCCCCTCCCCCTTCCGCGCGAAGCGCGGAAGCTTTGACGTTTCATTAAACTATTAGAGAAAGAAGACGATTCGTTGTACCGTTCTCGGTTTGTTAATCCTCTTCTGAATTCAGTTCACCCCACCCCTCCTCCCCTCCCGCGCAAAACGCGGATGCTTTGACGTTTCATTAATTTATTATAGAAAGAAGACGATTCATATTACCGTTCTCGATTTTTAATCCTCGTCTGAATTCAGCTCCTCTCCTTCCCCCCCCCCACACCTTCCGCGCGAAGCGCGGAAGCTTTGACGTTTCATTAAATTATTAGAGAAAGAAGACGATTCATTGTACCGTTCTCGAAAATAATCCTCGTCTGAATTCTCGCTACCCCAAATAGCGATTCTGCCGAGATCCGGGGAAAATCCTGAAAACGCGCATTGCATTATGGGATAGCTTTTCGACATTACAGCTTCCTGTGCAGGCGCGCGATAGCGCAAACGTAAAACGCCGTCGCCACACAACGTGTATGCACCGAATATGTCGTCTGCTCGGTCTTGTTTTTTTTTCGCAAATATTTCAACGTTTATTTGAACATTTCATTCGTTGTTTTTTGCGTCTTTTGACATCAGTGACGATGGTTTTCTTTTGTGAGGCTGCACAGTGCTGGGCTCATGATTCCAAGCGTAAGAACCCTGAAAATGGGGTTGGATGAAGGCCGTGACTTGGGATGGGACTCTATACCGGAAGTTGTAGTGACGACCCGAGAGAGTGAAAATTACCTCGTCTCGCGAATTTCGAGATTTTCGTACCTATTTAGGGTAGCGAGAAGTTTTCCCCCCTCTCGCGCTCAGCGTGGAAGCTTTTACGTTTCATTTAATAATGAGAGAAAGAAGACGATTCGTTGTACCGTTCTCGACTCTTAATCCTTGTCTGAATTTCAAAAATGTTCCTTGTCTACTCCCTTTTTTTCCTAAGTCCTCTTCCTTTTCTCTCCTTTTTTGTTTTGGCCGGCGTTTTTTGGGGGACCACCCGCACCGCCCCCCTGGCTACACGCCTGCGGTCAGATGAACATAATGTTGATACCTTGTCCGCCCCCGGCAGCTCAGGGGTTTTTGGCACTCAATTACGGGCCAATGAGTATCAAGGGGACCGCCTTAGGGCCCTTGGTTGGGTCCAGGGGGCAGAGCCTCCGGAAGCTCAGGGGGTTTAGGCGTTTAATTATACGGTCAGAAGAGCATTTTTAGATTTATTATTATTTTGTGACACTGGCAGGACACTATTTGGCGTGGGGTCCAGGGGCAGAGCCCCCAGAAATCACGGATTTTAGGCATTAAATTACCGTCAGATGAGCATCTAAGGCCCGCCTTAGGGCCTAAGGTGGAATCCAGGGGGCAGAGCCCTCAGGGTTTTAGGCATTTAGTCCCATTTTTTGTTCCCTTTTAGTTCTCCTCTTTTCCTTTTCCTCCCTTCTCTCTTTTTTTTAAAGCGGGGACGGGGGGGGGGCAAGGGCCTTTTGCCCCCCTCCCCCGACCCACAACTTGTAGGCGGTAAAATTGCAACTGATATCCCCCTTCTTTTCTTCTCTTCTTCCTATTTTTTCCTTCCCTTTATCTCATCTTTTCCTTTTTCTTTCCCTTTCCTTCCTTCTCTTTTATTTTTTGATTGGGGGGGGGGGGGGGGGAGGCAACAGCCTGGGAGGCCAAGTCTTTTTTCCTCCCCCGATCTCCTTCTTCCCTCTTTTTTTCTTTTCTTCTTCCTCTTCATTCCCCTTTCTCTCCTCTTTCCCTTTCCCTTCTTTTCCTTCTCTCTCTCTCTCTCTTTGTTCGGCCCCCCTGGATCCGGTGGTGGTGATGCAGATTCTGCCCCCCCCCCACACTTCCAAACGTTTTTTGTCATTACGTCACTGCCCCTGGAAGGTGAGCCCCCTGGAATATTTGCCCCATGATAAGATTTCAACCTCAAAGCTTTCAATGAGAAAAAAGAAACATAGTATTCTGGCCATTGTTATCTATTTGTCAAATGAAATATGAAATATAAAGGACCACAAAGTTTGGAAAATTAACCTGTGAAACACATGCACTTGTACCATCTACTTTTTATAACAAATTACAGCTTTTGTTTTGCTTTGGCGAGTCTGTACATGAGTTGCGAGACATCGTCAAAGATCTCTGGTTGTACGTGCTCTCTCACTCTCCCTATCCACGCCTTCAGCTTTGGTCTTCTGTCTAGCGTGCCATAGCCGCAGGGTTCCACCTGTATAACCTGTTGGTTTGTGAAAAAGATTAAATATTTTAAGTTAAAGTCGAGTACTGGTCATGGAATTACACCATGAAAGAAACTTTCTGGATGCAATTGAAAAAGGTTCATTATAGAGTATATTGAGATTTGTGATTATCAAAATGATAACTAATTATTGATGCAATTGCTTAAAGCCGCATGCAGTTCACGCAGGAATTTGCATAATTATAGGACTACAAACACATTTGGCAATCAGTGGCAAGAAGGTTTGGTCCGAACAGTTCAGCTATTTCTTTTCATATTTTGAATATGAGGGCATTTGAAATGCAATTCTTTTCACCGGACATTTCTTTTGCTCTATTCTGTCAAACTGACATAACAGAATCAGCAATCTGGTAACTAATTTTGTTTCACCTTTAACGGAATTGAACATCGATATTCAGCCTTTTCAGCAATGTAATTTCACATCCCAAACTCTATGTTTTCATGTGTCGGGATTAAGCCTATTTACATTAAAACAAACAAAATCATCAAATTTATTCAAGATATAACACATAATTGTTTAAAATCACAATTTAATTACACAGAGGAAGAACCATAATATTATAATCTAAAGGTTTCGCATACCCCAACTGCCTCCATTATGCCCAATTTTTCTTTTAATGTAATTGAGATGAATCAGATAACTTATAGATGCACTGGAACATATGTTGGGAGCCGTAAAGGTACATGTATTAGCACCTTACCCCCCCCCCCAACGACAAAAAATGTCAAATTATGAAATTTCGAGACCAAAAAAAAAAAAAAAATGTGTCCGCTTTGTGTTCTAGTCACTTTTTTATGTGCCATATAATTCTGCAAAGCTACAAGAAATACAGAATGACCTCCTTGTTTCTAATGATTATCGTACTAAGACGCAGAATAACTTAAATATACATTGTACATGTATATACCTCAATAATCTTTATACATTTGACAACCAAATTATTCATACCGCTTGCAATTTTGATGTATTTTTTCTTCTTCTTGTTACTCAAGAAAGAAAGCTGGACTGGCTGAATACTTTTGAGTGTAAGCTTTCATGTCACATTCTCAAGAAACATAAATTGGGACAAGTTATTTATCACATACCGGTACTTTAAAACTTACAAAACAAGGTAAAGGTATGAATAATTTAGTTGTTGAAGGTATAGACCAGTTCTTTTGTTTTGTAATATTCTTTATTGTATTCACTCAATAAATAATATTAATTCATACAAATTGTAATATATAACATATTGAAACCAATTACAGAGTACAAAATACAGTAATCTCAATTATATTGAATGAATTAATATTGTTATAACCCCCCCCCCTCTATATTTTGTTCTGTGTTACTAGTATCCCTATTACATATTATCATTTATAACATATTGGAACAAAGTACAGACTACAATCAACTTAGTTATATCGAATGAATAAAGTTTGTTAAATCCCCTACCCCCGTTAAAAACAAAACCAACAACAACAAACACAAAACAACAAAAAAAACCAAAAAAAAAAGAAAACAAAAACAAAAAAAAAACAAAAAAAAACAAAAAAACAAAAAAAACGATACAAGAAGACGTGGGCAGTCTATGGCAGTCGAGACCGGTCAATCACACACAGCTGTGAACCGGGCAGGCCCCCCCCTTTCCTCATCCCTTGCATTTTCTTGCATATTATCCATGTTTACCTTGAGATGTTCCCATTTTTTATAGTGGAGCGTCAACGTATTTCGTTCAGTAGCACTCTTTCTTTCTTCCCGTTTACTTTTGAATATTTTCTCTCTTATTTCTTCAATACTTGGAGGCTTCTTTTTTTCCCTACTAATAAATATCAAATATTTAATTAATAAAACCACGTGATTAATCATTTGCCTATCTTCGGTTATTTCGTCTAATCCAATGTGAACTTCCTTCCAGCTCATATCTTTAAGGATTGGAATATCCAAACTATCACTACATTGATCCCATAATTTTCTCACCATTTCGCATTCAAAAAATATGTGCCTATATGTTTCCTCTTCTTTTCCACAAAATGAGCATTTATCACTTAATATGAATTGAAACCTGTATAAATAACGATTGACATAAACAATTTTATAAAGCAATTTGAATTGAAATTCTCTTAGTTTATTATCTAAAGTACTAATTCTTGGTCGGACAAAAACCTTTTCAATTTCTTTAACCGACAGATTGTATGATGAATGTAAATTCTGAAAACTGACAGGGACGTCTTGCATTTTTTGTATGCATGCCCTGTACAGATTTTTCGAACAAACCGATTCAAATTGGAATGTTTTTTTTGTGAACATAAATTCTATTTTTAGATCATGAAATGAAATTTGCCTCTTTGTTAATTCGATTTTCCATTCCTTTGGTATATTACCATAGATTTCTTTAAGCATTGATATTTCCTCTTCCTCTAGTCCCATACATCTGAAATAAGTTTCCGACTTTAATGTTCCTTTTCCATCTATAATATGGTACAATCTATAAGTATTTTTTAAGAAAAGATTTTCATTGAAGTATGTTTTTCCACTATTGTGTATATACCTATTATTTAAAAAAATTTCATTCCCTTTGTGAGTTGTATCTTTTTTAATAAAATCATTCATATCTAACCAAATGTTTATTAAATCCCGATAGTATTTTGGTAATTGTAAATCGATCTTGTTAGGTAAATAGTTACAGTAAAAAATAAGATTTCCTCCGAAAGGTCTCATTAAAAATTTGAAATACTTTTTCCATTTAACTCTCTGGTTTCCTGTTACAAGTCTTTTAATCCACATCACTTTTTGTACTTTCACAAAAAGTTGAAAGTTGAGCATTTTTAATCCTCCTTGCTTGTAATCAAAATACATCGTACTTTTTTTAATTTTGTCTTTACCTCGCCATAGAAAATTAAAACAGATCTCATCAATTTCTTTTATAACCCATTCAGGCACTGGAGTCAAAGAGCTTACATAGATTAGTTTTGAATATGCGTATGTTTTCAGTAAATGAATTTTTCCTATCAAAGTAAGATCTCTTTGTTTCCACCAATTTAACAATTTCTTTATTTTGCTTAATATTTCTTTGTAATTCATCTCTTCCGCCACATTGGGATCTAATGCAAAATATATACCGAGTATTTTTAAAATGTGTGCCTCCTTTCCAAAAGGATACACAGTCGCAGAGCCAACAGAAGATCCTAAGGGTAAAATGAATGTTTTATTTCCATTAATCTTTAGTCCTGATATTTTCCTAAAATTTTCCATGATTACCTCTATTCTATTAATCGAGTTTATGTCTCGTACAAAAATTGACATGTCATCTGCATATAAGATCATCTTTATTTCTGTTTCTCCAAAACAAATACCTTTTACCAACTTATCATTTCTAATGCAGTGAGTTAAGCATTCTATGCATAAAATAAATAAATATGGAGATAACGGATCTCCTTGTCTTACACCCCTTTGAACTTTAAAATATCCGGTTGATTTACCCCCATTAAAAACACAACTTTGAGCATTGGTAAGTAAAATTGTAACCCATTCACAAAACATTGGCCCAAACCCGAAAGAAATGAGCACTTTCTGAAGAAAACTATGTGAAATCGAGTCGAAAGCTTTTTCATAATCTATTGCCAATAGGTACCCTGGTTTGTTAAAACAAGAAGTATGAAAAATCATATCATTGATTAATCTGATTGCATCACCGATGTTTCTATCTTTTAAATAACCTACTTGATCGACCGACACAATTTCATTCAAAACTTTTTTTATTCTTTTAGAAAGTATTTTGGTAATAATCTTATAGTCTACGTTGAGTAAGGAGATAGGTCTATAATTACTAATGAAATTGGGGTCTTTACCATCCTTATGTATAAGCGTTATGATTGCTTGTTTTTGAGAAGGCGACAATTCCTTGAATTTCATGGTATCGTTAAATGCCTTAAGAACTAAGTCACCAACTACATGCCAGAATGTAATATAAAATTCTACATTTAATCCGTCATTTCCTGGGGATTTATTTAACTGCATTTCTTTTAAGATTTCAATACACTCTCCCTGGTTAATTTTTCCTTCACATAGCTTCCTCTGATTTTCTGTTAATTTGGGTAAGGTTTTGGGGAAAAAATTAATATTTTCGCATAATCCTTCTTCTGATTTAGCATACAGTTTAGAATAAAATCTTCTAATTTCTTGTATGATATCTTTTTCATCATCAGTTATATTTCCATCTACTTGTAATTCTTTAATAGCACTTTTTTTCTCTTTGAAATCTATTAGTTGCTTAAAATATGCCGTTTCTCTTTCTCCACTTTCAAACCATTGGGCTCGAGATCTGATTTTTACCCCTTCACTTATATAACCGTAAAGATTTTTCAATTCCCTTCTTTTCTTTTCCAAATCGTTAATCAAAGAATTGTCATTCACCTTCGCTGGTATTTGTAATTCTTCCTCTAACTTTGAAATTTCTTTTTCCAAACCAACAATCTTATCCTTTCTTTCTTTGGCTTTTTTCTTACAGTATTTTCTTGTAAAACTTCGTATCTCCATTTTAACATAATCCCATAATATTCTATTATCTATTATCTCTTTGGATAGATTGAGTTTCAACCGTGTTATTTCTTCTTTCATACTTTTCACATAATCTGCATCGTTACATAAACTGTTATTAAATTTCCAATATCCTGCTTTTATTACAGGATTAGTAGAAGAATGTAGTTTAATAATCAGTTCTACTGCTGAGTGGTCCGGTGAAATTGAAGTTAATATTTTGCAGCTAAATACCATATCTTCTATGCTCTCCGAAATAACCCAGTAGTCCAATCTACTATGCATTTTAGGATTCTGTTGGTGATATGTAAATTGTTTCTTTAAATTATTTTTGACACGCCATATGTCTGTGGCATTATAGTCAATTAAAAACTTTTCAAATTCATAGCTAAGCTTAGACTGTTTTTTATTAACATTATGTCCACTGTAATCTAAATGTACATCTCTAACCATATTAAAATCCCCTCCAATAATGAGAGGTTTACTTTTGAATTCATCTTTTTCCAAAATATTTCTAACTTTGCCCAGAAACTCCAATTGTTCCAACTCTTTGCTCCCAACAGGGAAGTAAACATTTCCGAATATTACCTCCTTATTCTGCAGAAAACCAACTGCAAAAATGTATCTGCCACTTTCATCGATAACTGTGTGTCGTATCTTAATATTTACTCCACTATCAAATAGTATCATAACCCCTTTACCATGATTAGTACCGTGGCTGTATATACATTCGCCTTCCCACATCGAATTCCAAGTATTAACTATATCTTGTGTGCTAAAGGTTTCCTGTAAAAAAATAATATTCCCACCTTTTTCTTTGCACCATTTGAAAATGCTTCTTCTTTTATTTTTCTCCCGAATACCTTTTACATTTAAGGATATCAAATTGCAGACGGAAATTTTAGTGTTACTCATCATGTGCGTGTTGAGTATATAATATAGGTGGATGAGAGATGGAAAGGTTGTTGCCCACATTCAAGCCATATAAAACTAACCAGATCAAAGGCTGCCACAAACTGTCCCCATTGAAAAAAAAAGAAGAATACATTAAACATTTACGTAACATATAACACACACAATAAAACCTATGTAGAAAAGACATGTCTACAAATAAAGTTGCACCTATTTCTCCACCGCTTACAACCACCGCCTCACCCCCCCCCCCCCAGCTTCTACCCTTTCTACTACCTTCTTTATACAATCATTCCAATACCGGCTACATGCATGCGCTTCATTAAACCTAAACATCTTTGTATGCAGTAACCACTTCTGTAAATGAATGTCAATGAGCATCTATGTGTTTGACCAGCACAATGAACTCTTTCCTTTTTCTCTATATGAAGAAACCAAAACAATCATTAAAACATCTAGTATGGAGTAACCAATTCTATAAATGAATGTCAATGCATGCGTGCACTTCATTAAACCTAAACATCTTAGACTAAACTATCCTATTCCATCCCGGGCATTCTTTAATCGTCTAAAGAATCATTAGACCTTGGCATTCTTTAATCGTCTAAAGAATCATTAGACCTTGGTATGAAGTAACCACACCTATGAATGTATGTCACTATGCCTACTAGTACTTCGACCATCACAATGAACTCTTTTTTCTTCTTCTTTTAAATGAATATATTTAAATGGCAATATTTCTTCAAACTACTCAAGATTCCTATGAATCAAAAGACCAAACTGTACTATTCAATCCAGGGCATTCTTTTTTTTCTCGTTTAAACATAAGACATGCTCTTAATATAAAAGAACTCAAGATGTCTATGGGTCAAAATACCAACCAATACTAATCAATCCCGGGCATTCTTTAATCGTCTAACCCTAAGACACGCCCTTAGTATAAAAGACCTTCTGGTCATGCGATTGCATTGTGAAAGAAACGTTGTGGAATCGATCGGTAAGGTTGATCATATAGCATATAAGTATTGGTGTATACTGCAAGGTTCCGGAATCATCAAAATGATAAGAAATTTGGCCCAGTCTTGGTAAAGTGATAAGCACTGTACACAGAAAGATGTATATGGTAATACCCTATATCTATTCAGTCCGGATATATATAATAATTTACCAAATCTATCAATAAGTAGGCGGTTTCCCGTCAAAATTTGTATCGTCACGTATGACGTATTAGTCAAAACATATTCTTTCACATGACTGGTAATAAGAGCTTCCATTTCATTTTTTGAGAGGGGGGGGGGGGGGGCGTTTCCAAAACTGGTCCATATAAATCATCAAGGTACCTCATTGACGCCAAACAGGTCTGCGATGCTGATATCATACCCACACAGGAAAGGTTTTTCCTGGAGGAAGTGCTTTTCTAAGTTGTCTAAGGTTTCTTCCATTCTCTGGATGTCTGGTGCAAGGGCCGCAGGGTCTGGTGGGGTGCCCGTCATCCGGGGGAAGATCACCTGTGAAAAGGAGGAGACCGGTAGGGTGTTATTTAACTTAAAGCACCACTGTACTACTTGCAGCTACTTGCTCCCTCTATGTAGAAAACAATGCCTAATCAGTGTCCGTTGGTCCCTCATGATCCTCTTTTTCTTATGTTAATTGAGAGCTGAGTTGATGAGATAGCCACCTGTCAGTGACCTCCCTGGGTGGTCTAATAGCCATACTAGTACAGACGGTCTTTAAAGGCATTATTACAACAAAAACGTTGGAAAGAGACTATAGAGATGGGAAAGAGCGAGGGAGAGAGAGAGGGGGCAGGGAGAGGAAGAGGGTGTGGGAGAGAGGGAAAATAGAGACATAGGGTGAGAGAGGAGGGAGAATATTAAGAGTGAGAGAGGGAAAGTACGATGGAGAGAGAGAGAGAAAGAGAGAGGGAGAGAGAGAGAGAGAGAGAGGGGGGGGGGGGGGATAAGAGAACGGGAATGAAAAACAAGACTTGTATAATGTTTTATACACATATACATGATAAATTAGGGAGAAAGAGACCAAGAGAGAGAGAGAGATAGAGCCAGACAGAGTAAAACAGAGAGGCAGAATGAGGTGGAAACATGACAAACAAAAAGTTAGATGTACAAATCATTGATCATTGTATATACTTAGTTAATTAGACCAAGCCCTCGATGTGAATTGTAATGTAAACCCTATTTGTAGGGGTTTGCATGTTATCTATCTTGTACAATATTAGATTTAGGAACTGGGTAAAATAGTTGGTAGTACTTTTCAGTGCAGTACTTGATTCTGACCCTCTGGTCTTTGATACTACTGATACTTTACCTCAGTAGTTGATCGAAGGGGGGGGGTGGTGGGGGGCACAGTCTGCCCATGCCCCTCCCCCACATTTTAAGCCCAATCTGGCATTCATAAGTACCCCCCAAAACCCATCCCCCAATCAATGATATAATTTCTATGATTTCCATAAAATACATGATCCAATGTGTTTATGGCTATATGAGCATTGATGTTTATTCAAATTGAATGCAATACAAAACAATCTGTTACAATTTACTGAAACTGCACGCAATTTGATGTTTGACTCACTTCTGCGCAAAATACATTATACACACGAGCTCTCATATTGAAATGCTGCCAATCCAAATATTCATTGATCCTTGACCTCTGCTGAAGGCTCTTGGGAAACCAGTGATCCGCACAGTCAAACTTTTCATGAAGATACTTTGTGATGGTTGCACTTTGCGAGTCGGGAATATGTGAAGATAAGCAGAAAGATGAATGGAATATGCATGATATATTGCATTTCAACTTTGTGGTCAAGAGTATTATGGGTGACCCCACACTTTCATATCAAGGTGTTTATTAACTGATGGAAGTTTGAACACAAAGCAATTGTCTCTAAAGCACTTGTCTATAGGGTTCTTCGAACAATCCTTGGAAAATGTGCGCTTATCTGTACAGAACTAGGACTAACCTCTTTCCAAAAGACCTTTGCAACATTGATTCTGGTGTTCATGTGTTGCCAGGCGAGATACTCATCGACCTTGACCCTATCCTGAAGGTCAGATGGGCAGGGGCGTCTACAAAGGGGGGGGGGTGGGGTGCGACACGCCTCCTTTTGGAACTACACATGACCTTTAACTCAGATGGCGGTCATTTTGGATTTGCCCAATATGGCAGTCCCAGAAAGCGCCCTTCTTGGCGTCCGGCAGAAATCGTAATAGTATGGTATAATCTACCTCTGGGCCAAATTTGGTGCTTTTAGAAGAATCTGCACCAAAATATCTCTAACGGCCCCCACTAATAAGGATTAACAGACGAGAACAGTACACCGAATCGTCTGCTTTTTCTCATAATTTCATGAAACGTCAAAGCTTCCGCGCTTCACGCGGGAGGGGGAAACTTCATTCAGACAAAGATTAAGAGTCGAGCACGGTTCAACGAATCGTCTACTTTCTCTAATAATTTAATGAAACGCCAAAACTTCCGCGCGGGAGGGGGAGATGGGAATGCAGATAAGGATTAACAATCGAGAACAGTACACCGAATCGTCTGCTTTTTCTCATAATTCAATGAAACGTCAAAGCTTCCGCGCGAGGTAGAGAAACTGAAGTCAGACAAGGATTAATAGTTGAGAACGGTACAGCAAATTGTCTTCTTTTTATAATAATTTAATGAAACGTCAAAGAAGGGGGAAACGGAAGGGGGAAACTTCATTCAGACAAGGATTGAGAGTCGAGAACGGTGCAATAAATTGTCTTCTTTTCCTAATAATTTAAGGAACACCCCCCTAATCAGCGCGCTTCGCGTTCTTTAAATGATTCGCTTGCTCCCTACTACCCCTCCCTAAAATAAGATCCTAGCTCCGCGCCTGCATCAAAATATATAGCTATGATGCTGACTAAGTTGACGAGATAATTCGTATATTTATGTCGTCGAGGAAAATGACCATTTTGCGCATATGCAAGTACTATAGATAGTCCATAGGAAAAACAATTTAGCCTTCGGCCCCGGGTTTATAGGGTTAAATTTGTAGATATTGGGACATTTAATTGTGTCGGTAATTGGTGTCTAGTTTTGTCGATAATCGTTGGCCTCTACATCCCCCCCCCCCCCTCCAACTGAAAAAGGTCTAGCGACGCCCCTGGAGATGGGTACCAATGATCAGGGCATGCATGCTTGGCCTGCTCGTATTTCACTATTGTGATACTGCATGGTTCAGAGAATTAAAACAAATGTTCGGAAGTCGCAACCATCACATTTGTTTAACTGTGATAGTCCATTGTTCACAGAAATAAAAGAATTGTTCACTTTTGCGCTAATGCATTGATCAAAGAATGAATGAATTGTTGGAAATTACATCGATAACAAATTTGTTCACTATTGCAATACTGCATTGTTCAGATAACGCACAAAATGGTTCTGAATTCCGTTTATAACAATTTTTTTCCATTCTGTGAACCTGTAATATTCAGAGCAGGAAAAATTTATTTCGAATTGCATCAATCAGAGATTTTGGCATCAAATAAAATCTTTGGAGTGCTGATCAATTCATTAAAAATAATCTACAAAAACTGCACAAAACTGCAGAAAATTGATCACAATTTGTAGCTTTTAGTCTAACAGGATTTCGGTTTATCCCAAGCAGCCTCAGTACCTTACACAGTAGTAATTTCAGACAGGTTTTTTTTTCTGCACCATGATCAAAATAAAAACCATCTGAATAATCCAATCACATTATCTAAACCATAAATAATCAAAGATTGGCTATTGGACTATCAAGAAAAAACAAACATGGCATAGTATTTCATTTTGTAGTACTCATATGAATTCTTACCTAACACAAACAATGCTGAAACATGTAAAACAATGGCTTAGGCCCTTGTGTGAATTTCATTTTAAAGAGCTGCTTTAAAGAGCAATCTAACCCTAGTAATAACGAGATTTACAGAATGGCAAAAGTTTAAAATGAAGCAGATCGATAATGAGAAAGTTATGAATGTTTTAAATATGAGATATGAGGTTCCCATGTGTCCTGTTTTGTGAGGGTGTCCACATTGAAATTTTTAAGGACTGTATGTGTGGGCCCCCATCAAATTTGGGCGACTAAAATTTTGGGTGCACATGTGTCTCCGGCACCTGGCAGTGTTGTTGATCCATACCTCTCTGTGAGTTTGAACTCTCCGTCTTGCATAGCCGGAATCTTCATCATTGGACTGACGGCTGCATACTCCTTGGATTGGTGCTCACCTAAAAGATCAAAGGTTACAAAGCAGGGCATGGCAATGAACAAAAGATAACAGAATAAAGAGATGGAAATTCTTTCCTTTTTGAATACAGACCTCTTTACAGAGTATTACAGAGTATTACAGGTGGACCACTACACCGGGGCTTCCCCCTACTCTTATACAAATAGTGCAGTAGGTTCTTAACGTGCAAAGGTAGTGACTCTTCTCTACACGGGGCCTCCATTTAACGTCCTATCCGAGGGATGGAGTGTTTTCCACTTAACATTAAAGGTAAATAATAATACAAAGTTTTGGACAATTTTGAAAATTGAGTGTATAGTGATTCTTTACAATTTTGATATATTTGGATGTCCCTGTGGATGTCGTATAAAAACTAGAAAATTTAGACCCTAAAACACTTCTGCTTTCGAGAAAAATTGAATATAAAAATTTTCGGGAGCAAAATAATAAAGCTGAGTCGTTGCGAAATTTTGGGCCCGATTTTAACCCCCCTCCCCCTCTTGAAAAAATCCTGCGTACGCCACTGGCCAGGATAGTAATACAGCTATGTGTGCCATGGCCCGATGGGCCCGAGGGCAGGCCCATGTCTTTCAATCGACATTCAGCAGAACCCCTCGATACACACCCCCCCCCCCCGAACTCTGGCAGAGAAATAGATAGAATTAGTACGTGCACTTCTCCCCCCCCCTTCCACAGGGTTCTTTATTTTCAAAACAAATTCCATCATATACAGCATATCCATATATCATATACTAATAATTAAAGAAATAATTTCCATACATAATGGCTTGACACAGATAATAACCATAATAACTTTTATGACAAAATTAGTACTTTAAATATATAATAAAAAAATACCAAACATAAAATACATGATCATGTTTATGTTAGCACATTTCAAACACTCTCAAAATATTTTCTAAAGTGAAACAATTTCTTTTTCAATTTATTCTCTCTGAGATTTGTTTGGTATATATATTTTTCCATTTCATAATAACGTTTTACAGCTGATAAAATTATATCAAATGATGGTAGTTGATTTCGTAATTTAGCTGAAAATATCTCTTGTCTTACAACCATCAGAACACAGTTGAGTGCATTATTATTGCTACCGCAAAATCCAAACAATTTATTTTGATTTGTAAGTTTGATCCTTTCCCCCGTCTCACGAAATATCCAGAACTCTAACTTCGACCATACTTTGTTAGAATAGTTACAAAAGCAAAAAACGTGCACTTACTTTTTCGTATGGCTATTGGACATGGAGTGTATGGGATCTTGTTTGCTCTCACAAACATCAACACCGACCTCGCAGGGTGCGACAGTACGTCGTAGAATATTTTAACAGACATTTTGCAACTTATTTAGGCATTAAATGGTAGAAATAACGATGCTTTTTACTGGCAGGTGATAACCTTGTGCGATGTCTGGACACCAATTATTCTGAGATTTGTTACGCCAGTACGTAAGTACAACGCGCGTGCGCGACGTGCACCATATGCATTGATATGCATGCACGATATCGCGCGCATGAAGAATATCGCTAATGTTTTTTCTGAGAACGAGACCGCAGCAGACAAAATAATGAAGTTGAAATTATTTTTAGTGGATGTTCACCCCGTGAACACCTTTATACGCCACATTTCAAATCACATAGCGAGATACCAAAACGGTCTTCCATTAGAATAAAAATAGAAATATAAACAGAAATTGGTAATAGAAATAGAAATTATAGAAATCGATAAAAAAGGAAAATACAAATAAGAAATAGAAATTGATTTTGTAGGAGAGCTCTAAGATGGCGGCGTAATCGGTCTTTTGGCGAGCCGTGACGTCAATGCATAAGGTCTATACGGCAATGCGTTCCTCGATCTACCCACTCCTGCTGTTGCTGCTATAATGCTAGCTACTACTACTGTTTCCTAATGCCGGACAAGAGATTAAACTCCCCGTCCAAAAACGGTGATTCGATCGAGAAAAAACAAAGAAAGTTGCCCGTTGATTGTCAGCGATCCAACGCCATGTCTTCGCCAGCCGGCCCCGGCAGCTCCCGAGTGAGTGACGCGGCCGCTGCGGCCCCTGTTTGGTTCATAGAATATGAGAGGCGTTTGGATTCAAAGTTTGATGACCTGCATAAGAGACTGGATTTTCATGAAGCTGCTTGTGAAGAAAAGTTCCAACATCTGGAAAAGGAATTGGCTGCAGCTTTTGATAAGATTGACGACCTTGAGAATAGATCTCGAAGAAACAATCTAATCTTTTTCAACTTCCCTGAAGGTGAGGAGCCTGATTCTGCCAGTGGATGCAGTGAGTTGATTTCATCTTTTTTGGCCTCTATTGACAAGAATCTTGAGCATGTTCAGATCGAGAGGGCTCACCGCACGCCGCCAGGTCCACTATCATCTCGTGGACATCCCCAGAATGGCAGCCAGTACAAGCCGAAGGATCGTCCAATTCATGTTTGCTTCAGTTCGTTTCAAGATCGAGTGAGGGTCCGGAAGGCATGTGTTGCTGCGTTCAAGGAGGGGTTCAAGTTCAAAGAGAGATCAAAGTTGTATGTTGCAGAGGATTTCAGTCATCGCGTTCAGGCTCGCCGTAAAGCTCTCCTGCCTGAGTTAAAGATGTTGCAGCAACAAGGAAAGCGAGCATTCTTTGTATACCCTACGACAATTAAGTATGTCCAAGATCACCAGCTGAAGGTTCACAAGCCAGGTGTTTGAATTGCATCTGTAGTACATCATAACAACACTGTGATTATCATAGTGGCTGTCTCGTACAAACCGTCTGACTTTCACAGAAAACTTTTATATTTTACAAGATGACATGCCTTGAACTTAACGCGTTTTAACTTGCTGGACACCAGATTAGTTTAGTGATGTCGGTCTTTTTAAACATATTTTGTTTACTTAAACTTTTTTAGGAATTCTCGGGGTGCCCTGGAGGTGCCTTGTTTTTGGTTACCCACGATTCACCATTGGGGATAATAGTTTTTATTGTTCTTATCCTTGTTGATACTGGTTCATTATGATTAATTATGAGGCTCTAAGGTTTTCTCATTCTTGCCACATACTGTTGGCTGCCTTTACAGTTTGTTTTGTTTTTGGTGGGTGTTTGTGCGTATGCTTTTTTCACTGAGTGTGTGGTGTGTGCCCTTTTCCCAGGGGTTCTTTATCATGAATCAAATTGTGTAAATTTTTAGGATATTACTTGTTTTGTCAACTCACTGTTGCTACTCTAGGTTTTTACTGTTATATGATGTTACAGATTAATACTTTTAATTGCAGAGGACTGCATGACAATTTTAAAAGAAAGAAAGTTTTTAATTTTTTAAGAGAATTTGGGAATGATATAATCTTTCTTCAGGAAACCCACTCTAGGATAGATGATGAGAAGCTGTGGCGTACTCAGTGGGGAGGGGAGGCAGTTTTTGGCAGCTATGGTTCCAATAGCCGAGGTGTGGCTATCTTGTTTAAAGCTTCTTTGAAAATATCAGTCTTATCTTTTCACCTGGATCCTGAGGGAAGATATATTATCCTCCATGTTAATGTTAATGATGTACACTTTATTCTTGTCAACTTATATGGCCCTAACAAAGACTCACCAGATTTTTTTGTTAATGTTTTTGCTAAGTTAGATGAAATAGGTAACTCTCATGTTATTTTAGCAGGAGATTTGAATATTGCGGTAGGCCCTTTAGATTATGAGGGTTCTAATGCAACCCACTCTAATGCTCGTGCCAAATTGCTTTTAATATGTATGTAGAAGAATTAAGTCTTGTAGATGTATGGAGAAGAGATCATACTCATGATAAGATTTTTACACGCCATCAGAAAATTCCATTTGTTTCCTCCAGGTTAGACTATATTTTTATTTCTAGTGATTTGTTGGATTGCGTAAAGAAATCTAAAATTGTGACTGGTATTTGTTCTGATCATTGTATGGTAACACTAGCACTGTCACTAAATGATTCACCTCGGGGCAAGGGATATTGGAAACTGAACACTGCACATTTGAAACATTCAGAATTTTGCAATTTCATTAAAGACAAAATTAATGAATTTAAGGAATTTCATGCTGAATGTGATCTAAATCCACATATTATTTGGGATGCATTCAAATGCACAATGGCTGGTCATTGTATGGAGTATTGCAGTAGAAAGAAAAAAAGAAAAGAATTTGACTAAGAATAATTTACTAAAGAGTATATCCTTACTTAAAGAAAAAATTGGTTCATTGAAAAAGGATAATAGTTCAAATGAAGAACTGCTAGAATTATATAGCAAATTAGAAGTTGAAGAAGCACAGTTGAATGAACTTCTGGATACTGAAACTGCTGGCTCTATAGTAAGGTCTAGATTAAAGTGGGCTAAACACGGAGAAAAAAGCTCTAAATACTTCTGCAATTTAGAAAAACGGTCCTATGAAAGAAAAACTATACGCCAACTGAAGGCGAACAATGAGCAAATCATCACTGATCCTAAAAGAGTACTTCAGGAAATTCATTCTTTTTATAAAGCTCTATACTCTTCAGAGGTATCTCTTGAGGATAGGGACACTATCAAGGATTTTATCGCCCCTTTGAATATACCTACCTTATCAGATGATTCAATTTCTGCTCTAAACAGACCTTTAACCAAAAATGAACTTTGGACTACATTAAAGAATATGGGAACAAATAAGAGTCCAGGACTAGATGGCCTTCCTTGTGAATTTTATTTAACCTTTTTCAATGATATCATAGATTTATTACTCCACTCTTATAATTATTCCTTTCAAGAAGGAATTTTATCACAATCTCAAAGAAGTGGAATAATCACGCTTCTTCCAAAAAAGGGTAAGGATCCATTGTTAGTGAAGAATTATCGCCCTATCTCTCTACTGAATGTTGACTATAAATTATTAGACAAAGTTATGAGCTCCCGTTTGAAGTCTTGTATAAATTCTTTGATACATACAGATTAACAAGGGTTTATGAAGGGACGCAACATTGGGGCCAATATTCGGGTTATAATTGATTTAATTGAATACACAGACTATATGAATGAGCCAGCTACAATTATTTTGTTAGATTTTGAGAAAGCGTTTGATAGAATAGAACATGATTATTTATTTTCAGTCTTGGACTATTTTAATTTTGGAGACAATTTTATAAGATGGATAAGGTCTTTTTACAATGACAGAACTAGCTGTGTGTTAAACAATGGTTTTATGTCCAATCCGGTTGCAATTAAAAGAGGAATATTCCAGGGGTGCCCAATATCCCCTCTTTTATTTATACTAGCTATTGAAATTCTGGCTATTTTAGTACGACACAATCCAGGGATAAAGGGAATTTCAGTTGGCAATTTTGAACAGAAGATAAGTCTTTTTGCAGATGACACAACTTGTTTTTTGAATGGGGAAACAGTTTCCTTTAAACATTTATTTGAAACGTTGACTCAGTTTGCAAAATTTTCAGGTTGTCGCATTAATTTAAGTAAGTCAGATGCAATTCATATAGGAAAGCTGAAAGGCAGTACAGTTATTCCGCAAGATGCATTAGGGTTGAATTGGAAATCAAAAACGTTTAAGGCTTTAGGAGTGGTTTTCTCATTGAACACAAAAATGCTTTACGAACTGAATTTTGTTCCCAGACTTGTCATTATAGAACAGATTTTAAATTGTTGGAGGCATAGAAGCCTATCCTTGTTGGGCAAAATTGCTGTTGTAAAGTCGCTTTTACTCCCCCAAATGTTATTTTTGTTTTCAGTATTATGCATTGACCTGCCAAACTCTTTCTTTAAAAGATTAAATGGTTTGCTTTTTAAATTCATTTGGAGCAATGGCAATGACAGAGTTAAGAGAGATATATTATGCAATGATTATGAAGAAGGGGGTCTAAGGATGATTAATCCTTTAGTTTTTTGCACAAGCGCAGAAAGTTTTGTGGATGGCTAAACTCTTAGACGATAAATATGAAAGTTGTTGGAAAACAATAGAAATATATATTCTTTCTACCTTTTGTGATGACCATCTTGCCTTTTTTAAGGCAGATGCCCCTGATTCGGTTTTGGCAAAACTTAAAAATTGCCAGTTAACAGCGTCTATTAAGACATGGTATTTATATAGGCAAGAGATGAAAAGAGAACTAGGTTTATGTCAGTTTCATTTACAAGATTTTATTTGGTGGAATAGAAATGTAAGATTGCAATATAAAACACATTTTTTCTATCCAGTTTGGTATGAAAGGGGTATTCATTCCATTTTTCAATTACATAATGGTTTTGGTAACCCCAAAACATTTGAAGACCTCGTAATTGAGTTTGACATTCCTATTAGAGACCAAAGAAAATATGACTCCCTCATGAATGGC